CTGCTTCCCTGTGAGAACCCTCCCATTTTTATTTGTAATTTCTTTTTTCTGCTTCAGTTTCTGATCCTGGGAACAATCCTCCACATTTCTCTCCCAGTGGGGTTTTTTTTTCGGTAAAAGAATCCCTTTCTGTTCCTGAGTCAGAAATGTTTAATGTTCCTCTTTCACTGCTCTGCTCTCACCCAAACACTTCCCTTGGAGAGATGAACATTTCTGCACAGTGATGCTTTGTTGGGCATTTCTATGAAATCCTTTGACAAGAACAAAACCCCATCCAAAACGCTGCTGTCCTTGTGCAGCAGGAAGTGTTCTTTGCATCGCTGAAAGAGCAGGTTGCCAGTTTTTTGTCATTTTGATCGCTCCGGAACAAAGGGTAGACATGGAGCTTGGCTTGGCAGGGATTGAACTTAACTCGTTGCTTTTTTGCTGGGTAGAGAGAAGAAAGAGCTCTAGAGATGGATTTGTGGCAGCCCTGTGGTGTTCTGTGAGCTCATGGAGCAGCTCTGCAGTGCTGCCACGGGCTGGTTTCGCTTCCCACTGGAAATATGGGATGGTGTGGGACCAAACCACGGAGCTCTGCRAGCCCAGATGGGAAAAATCACACAAATCCCTGAGCAAACCTCAGCAAAAGTGAGATTTTCATCCCTCACCTGTTGCAGAAAGACAAATTTCCCATTGCRAAAGTATCAATCTGTGATTTTTGTCCTGTGGCTGCGGCGGATGGGAATGGATTTGCGAAGGGTTCGGCGTCAATCGGCTTCACTTTGATGGCTGCTCTCTTCCAGGAGAGGCAGAAGCAGCTGGAAAGCCTTGGAATATCCCTGCAGTCTTCTGGAATCAAAGTTGGGGATAATAAATGTTTCCTGGTGAACCTGAATGCAGATCCAGCTCTCAACGAGCTCCTGGTGTACTATTTGAAGGTAAAAATATATCTTTATATATGTAATTTTTTAARTGTTACAAGTGGGCCTCTAATTCGTTTGGTAGAAATGTGTTTGGAGAGTTTTATAAAAAAATGGATCTATGAACGTATACCTGAAAATACTAAAATTCATATTAATACACTCTTTTTATTTCATATTTAATTCTCCATAGCAGAGGAAAAGTTTGGGGATTTGATGGTTTTGTTTTGGTTTTGTTTGGGGGTTTTTGGTAAGAAATTTGGACGTGCTCTTTTTGAGAAATTTTCTCCTGTTTTGGGATAAGTTTTTTTTTTTTCTTGGTTGGATTTTTTAATGCCAACTTTCACACAGTTTTTACCCAGGAAATTGTTTTTAATAAAGGTTGGGCATATCAGGAATCAGCTCCTTCACGTGGAGTCCCAATTCTGACTGCTGCCTTCAGTTTAGGAAATGCATTTTTAATCCTCTTCATGCAACTTGCCAGGAGTGAAAAACAAATTCATTTCTGCCCTCGGCACTTCTGATGTGCAGCCCCTGATTCTGACATGAACCATCAAACACATGATGTGACTTTTGGACTCTGCTGAAATATTTGGGCAGTTTGTTGTGGTTTTTACAAATTGTAGATGGAGGAGTCAGGAGGACAAACGAGGTACAGACGTTTTAAAGTCACATTTTTGGAGTGCGAGTTCTGAAAATTTCGCAGCGAGCGTTGGCGGTTTGAGCTTCACATTAAATCATCCCCTTCCCTTTGAAGTGGGRTAATAACTCTCCAAAACAGCCACAAAATCAGCAATTGGGCTGAAAGGTGGTTTTGGTTTAGTCAGTCTCAGGAAATACGTGATCCTTTTTCACATCAGCCATCGTGGCTCTGCGACATCTCAATAAAAACAAGGCAAAGAGCTTTTTCCATGTTGTATCTGCTGAAAAAAAACCAACAAAACATTGAAAAAGGAGAAAAGAGCTGAGGTTTTGGGAGAGGTTGAATCTTTCCCAGATGAGTGTGACTTGGCTGTTAAAATCCCTGACAGATACTGGGGCAGATCCCACTTCTCCCAGTGATCACTGGAAGAGCAAAGCAAAGCCTTGACCCATCAGTGCCAGCAGGAAAAGTCTCAGGTGGTTCTGTGCTCTTYTCCTTTTCTAGACAAATCTCCTCAGGGTAGATTTTGTCTCCTTCAATTAATCTTTGTTATTTTTTTTAGTAACTCAGATTTTTTTGCTGCTGGGGAATTTTGGTGTAAAAATTCCCATGCTTTGAAATGATTTTGATAAAATTTCTTGCAGCTGTGTTTCATCAGATCCTGAGATTTAACTCTTCTATTTCTCAGAGTATTTGGCCACGTTCTCTTCCATGCTGAGCTCTGTGTGCTCCAGGTCCTTCGAGTCCTGAAGAGCAACCTGAACTGACCTGTATTATTTTATCTGCTCCTCAAAAATTGCTTGGAGATAACTAAAAAAGAGATTTTTGTCCCAAAAGGGGAATCCAGTCCTGGCAGTGGTGGAGTTCCCATCCCTGGAGGGATTTCAAAGCCCTGTGGATGTGGCACTTGGGGACGTGGGACAGTGCTGGATGGTTTTAAAGTGTTTTTTTCCAACCTTTTCAATTCTGTATGTGGGGTGAGCCTTCATCTGCTAAATCCTCCAGGAATTTCCTGAGCTGTTGCTGGTCTCGGTGGAGCTTCCCTTCATTCCTGTTCAAAATCCTTTATTCCTTCGGCTTCTACAACATCCCGAGGCACTGAATATTTATAAAAAAATACAATATAAATTACAAAACATATTTTTTGTAATTACAAAAACCTCTTCATTTTCGGGTTTAACTGTTGCCTGTARACTTTCCTTGTTATTTTAAGACAAAGATTGATTTTTTTCTCTTTTTSCCTCGAAGGGAAGCTTTGAACAGCTCTGAGATTTCGGGACCAGATGACACATCCAGAAGGAGAACAGGGCAGTCAGACCCAGTGAACCTTTGCAGTCCATCCTTAACATCTGAATTCATTTTTCCCCAGGAGCACACGTTGATAGGCTCAGACAACTCTCAAGACATCCAGCTGTGTGGGATGGGAATTCTCCCTGAGCACTGCATCATCGACATCACCCCAGAAGGCCAGGTTATGCTGACCCCCCAAAAAAACACCAGGTAAAGGAATCAAATGCAGCYCCAGCTGCTTAATAATTACCATTTYATCTCATTTTATGATTAGTGCTGCAGAAAATTACTGGAAAAGAAACTTTTCTATCTGTTTTGAATAAGAAAAATTCTACTTCCTGCATCCTGCTTTTCCATTTGAATGGTCACCTGCACCTCTGTCAACTGATGTTTCRTTGCAGTGAGATTTCTCTCAAAGAGGGTGTTTGCAGCCCAAATTTTCAAAGAGAAGATGAGTGAACTGCATGTGCTTTCAGCAAGTAGATACTCACAGATTTGCAGCTGTGCAGATGGAACTCTGTCAAAATCTGAATTCATTTTCCAGGAAATCTGTTGATATGCAAAGAGCTGCTGAAGCGTTTGTGGCTTTATTCAATTAAGTGGCTCTACTTGAAAAGCAGCTGCCATATTCAAATTGATCACAAAATGTGGTGCAGTGTCAGCATCTCCAATAATTTATTTTTAATACCCAGAATCCAAACTTTTCACTCATTTGTGGCTGATCCTGCTYGGAGCAGATTGGGCTGGGTGGTGACCTGAGATTCCCTTCAAATCTGAGTTTTCCTGCGATCTGGTTTTCAAACTTAATCTCACTCAGAAATAAATTTCTGCATAGCTCCTGATTATTTTAATTAGTGTCTTTAAGCTGTTTATRTAGCAAAGGTGTGTATTTTCCTATTCAAATAATTCCATTTTGTGTCTGTATTTCAAAGCAGTGTGAAAGTGCTTTTTCCTAGTGAATTTTTATTTTCAGACCCCTTATTTTTAAGATTTAATTTTAGTCCCCAGACACAAATGTAGTAATATTTATGTGAATACACTGAATTTCATGGCTTAAGAAGTTGAAAGAAGCTGAATTTGAGGCATGTATGAAACAGCACAGGGTAGATCAGTGAATTTTCTGGGAATATTTTGCCTGTGTGCAATACATAAATATTTTCTCCCGCCTTTACTTGTTCCAGTAATGAAAGCTGTAATGGGAAGGGGAAAAATGAAGTTTTATAGAGATGCATTTGCTTCAGATTTTGGCCTTTTCACAGGACATTCGTGAATGGTTCTGCTGTGGTGTGTCCCATCCAGCTCCACCACGGAGACAGAATCCTGTGGGGAAAYAACCATTTCTTCAGGTAACAAAAGTTTAAAAAGGAATTGTGAAAACTGAATTTGTTTTGGTTTAAGGTGTGAGGAAAGGTGAGGATTGTGAAAGCAATGCTTTTTAATGCTAAATATTACAAGGTCACTGTGCTTYCTGTGGGTTCCAGCCATATCTGTGACCTTCCTGTATCAGACAGCATCGCTGGTGGGTGTTTTCTGTGCAAAAATTGTGCCTTGAAACCCTCTGAAATACCTCAAAGAWCAGTGGATTTGAGTGATAATCTAAAATTTCATTGCTTTCTTTTATGCTTAAAAGGAGAATTCACGTTAAAAAGTGAGATAGCATTTCGTTATTGCTCTGAAATTATTGGGATGTGGAATGACTGAAAAAAATTCATGATTATGTAAACTAGGTAGTATCAGATATTTTATTATGAGAGTATGGAGTGCGTTATTTAATTTACCTTCTATTTCCATTTTGCCCTGAGGAAAACTGCACCCATGGGAGATCAATAAAATCAGAAAGAGAAAAAAATTACTG